ACTGAAAAAAACCTTGATAGGTTAGTGAATGCTAGGTCATTTGGACCCAGGCTATCGAAAGGCATCTCATCCAAACCTGGTAACCATTTGGCGTGAGAACATGCGTTGAATACGATGGCTGAAGTTTAATGACTTGTCAATGGTAAAACCTACTGATCATACGTGTTCTATGGACCGATGACTGGGCATGGGTTACCTGATCACCCGACAAATTAGCATTAGAGACGTCATTCGACCAAAGGAAAAAATCATGAGTAAAAAGCATGCAGGTGAGAGTCTCACGGGAGTAGCCCTTTGACAACTCAATATTTCGGTAAATCAAACAATTTTACATCGCGTAACTATCCAGGCTGTCACTCGAATACTGAGTGGGGAAAAAATTCGTTAATAAGGAAGTCTACAAATCCAAAAAATGAGGTAAATGAAGATTTCCCCACCATCTATCCTTCAGAAAAAGACTTTCGACCAAGAGAAGCAAGTTTTGAAAAGTGGTTGATGCCTAACTGATCAAACCGGCTCTGTATAAGTGAATCTACTGTGTCAATCCCTCCCAGCGGGAAACAAGCTAGCTGTGGACCCCAATTTCAACAAGCACCCCATTTTAAAGTAGATACCATAGCCCCTGTTACCTTCGGTTCCACAGCTCACGCTTACGTTCTATTTCGCATTTGATGGCGTCATTGTCAAATGCCGAGAAACACTGGTACCTACAACATGGGGAAATAAGATTATGGAGAAAGAGAACAAACATGAGGGTGTAGCAGTATCTCCCTTCTTTCTGTCATTCTTCTCCCCTCGACCTATTTCTTTATAAAACGTTTCATGCAGCAAATTGCGTGGCGATACCAAGGTATAAAGCCCAGTTTTGCTTTGTTTGAAAGGAAAGCCGATTTCTTTTTCCCAATTCGGTTATCCTGACTGTTTCCAAAGAGGCCTTTTTTGAACACACTCCATTTGTATTAAGTGGAGATCTCAAAGTGAATTGTTTGGTCATCAAACACTTCTGTGGATGGAGAGGTGCCTGCTTTAGAATTTGGACCGGGTAGTTTGCAGACAGCTTGGAGATAACCCAATAATATCATCGTTCCTCTATAATACAGAAGCCATCACACGGTAGTCCGTCAGTTAGACACCAGCCAGTTCTTTCTTAAAGGCTTGTTTAAATAGCCCGAAGGATTGATCTATGTGGTCTATTATGGGTGGAACCTTGTTTTGAGCTTTCGCCCCCCGTTTGTTGAGGCTTTAAACGAAACGTTTCATCACTCAGGTTAAACATGACTCTATGCTCCAGTCAAATTAATCTCGAATGCCACGTAATTCTTCAGCCTCTTCAAAAGTAGAGTCTCCTTGAACGCGATGCAGCCATATTTGAGTTGCTGATTCACCACCAGAGCCAACGCGTTTGCTGAGAGCTACCCTGAGCGGTAAGAAATGGCAAACAAACATATCGCCTCACCATACAAATTCCTACCTCTGGGGCAAGTACCACTTCATCTCTAAAACGCAGTGCTTTGTTGAGATCGTGGGGGTTGGATCTGGTGAGAAAGGTCCACCAATAATGTAAGATCTTCTTTCTTTCTTTCTCTTTTCTGCCTTCAGGTTGGAAATTCTTGGTACGAAGAATTTGGCTTGAAGAAGGGAGGATATAAACTCATCTTTGTGGTGGAATTTTGAGGCATGATTTAATTGCGGCTAAATTTATTTTATATCACGGGCAGTTGTTACAGCGCGACCTTTGACCCTCTCAAATAGGGTGAATCTTGTAATGGCCTGTCTATTAATTTTTGGATTAAATATTTCCCTAACTAGGAAAAGAATTTGACGACCTACTGAGTAATCAACACATGCACCTCCACAGTTTAAAGATTTGGCTAAATTAGAGCTAAAATAAAGGCAACAAATTCCTTACTTGATTACTCCAAATGGCTGAATGAATGGGTCTAGGGAGTGAATTAAGAGTTGGATGGTTGGATGGAGAGCTGGCAATGTGGATCGTTTAATAGACAAAAAGCCCAATATTCGAAGATATAGAACCACAGCTATTCTGCTGTGACCGGACTAACACAATCCACACCTTTTATCCAAAAACCCTTCAAAATCCTTCCGAATTGGTTTGTTATTCTTCCACAAGACTTAAAATTAATGTAAAATTAATGTAAAGATGCCATCAAAACTGGTTGGAACCTAAAAAAGCCCCAGAATATGCATTTTTGAAGCCTTTAGAAGGGTTGGAATAGTGTGGCATTTCTCAACTCCTAGCGTCCCCTGAGTTATTCACTCTGCCCAACAAGTGTTTGTATGCACGCTTAAATGCAGGAATGTGAGTGGATGTTTGTGTTTGTTTGTGCCGTGTATGTTGGTACGTTTTCGCTTGCTTGACTATGCCTAAAACGCCGGTTAAATGCTACACTCGACCTCAAATGACCCCATTGCGTGCTCACTCAGGCGTAGGTTCGCGTGATTATTGTCTTGCCAACATTATCTCGTGTCTCTTTCTCTCTCTCGCTCGTCAATGGGTGCCCGGTTGCCTGTGTGTAATTTGTAAACTCCACACCTCCACCTCTTATCCTCCTTTTTCCCCTTCGGTGCCTTTTACTGCTCCCCCACCAATCAATAAACAAGTGTGACCCTCCTCTTAGCACGTCCAAGACGCATAAATGGGTTTAAACAAGTCCTCTCAAACACCTCACTGTAGGTCAGCCACATCCACTCACTCCGTTTCGTGGATCACGTAGGCAGGTCGTAGCATGTACGTTTATCGTACAAAGAGTGCAACTGGATCTCCTCTTCGCATGAAAAATGCACTCACTGCTCAAATCAAACTGGGAATACTGGATTGACTGTTTTATGGAGTATAACGATAGTTTTTCCTTTTTGGGCCACACGTTCGTCCCTCCTACATCTATACATTCAGTCGAACACATGACTTGTTCCTCAAGTGAGGATATGTTGATAGCCGTCTTTTCCCCTCCTTCGCCACGTTCTTTATGGCTTTGCGTTCACTGTTGCTGCAGAAATATTGGCAGATTGCACTCTCGAAATGAAAAGGGGATTCCACGTACAAAGTGAATGTTGACAGAAGTTAATTATGTCTTCGGTGTGGGACTGTCGTGCTACCTATGGCTGGCCAGCCAGCCAGACAGTCAGCCATCCGCCTGTCCATCTGTCTGTCTATCCATCCGCCTTTGACGGCTGCCTTTGAAGCGCTTACATGAATCAAGTGTGCAACGAGTGAGTGGCTCGATGTCCTACGACCGTAGCGTACTGTTCTCGAAACTTTGATTGGGTATTCACGGATTGGAATTGGTCAGCTTTGTTAACAAGAGGATTTGGTTCATCGACCTGCGCCGTTGTGTCCACGCCTGCATGCACCACCACTTTTGCCTGCCGACTAGATCGGTGTTGTCTGGACTGGCTCACACCATACAGTAAGGACAGACAGGCCACTCACTTCTGCATCCAGTGCCGTCTCATTAGCCTCTGTTATATTCCTGCTGGGACATAAAAATCCTACTCTTATTTGAACGCCTCTTATATATTCGACCGCTGCGGAGTCTGCACAATCTACCGTCAAGTTGGAAGGACTCCCTTAACCTTTACATCTACCATTTAATCGTGGACGGAAACAGCTCTTTGTTGAGAGATTCAATTTTTTGGGGGGCCTATGGAAAGGGAAGAGAATGAAGGGATGACAGGAAGGCGGGTAAGTGGAGTGTCTACAATTTATTGGTCTTTAGTGAATTATTCATCCCCAGTCTCAACTCAATTTGGCCTGCCTCTCTTCACCACTCTCTGGCCCTCTCGCCCTATGATTCTCACTCCACCTCTCGATGCCTCGCACGATGCTCTAAATTATTCACGCCCTTCAGCATTGTTTCAAATCGCCGGCCTGTCCATTTGAACTTGCTGCGTGTGTATAAAGAGGGAGAAAGAGAGGTGTGGTGGGTGGGTAAGACGAATATAAAACGAGTGTCTAAGTATGCGTGCTGTCATTTTATGAAATGCCCAAATGAATGGTAAACTCGCGTGTAGAAGAGCAGGTTAAAACGACCAGTGCTTCTACTAACACGCCATAAATCCCACTTCGCCGCGTAACCCGAATTCAACAAAGGACCTGAAAATAACTAGGACGTCACGACAAGACCAATCATTAGGAACATTGGCAACATTGTTCCCTATAATTGGCATTTCGTTGTAAATGCGAACTACTAGCTCGTTCGCCAAACCTACAATTAGGGGCTGCCTTTGTTCAATCATCCCAAGATAATATGCACCTGCTACTTTTCGGGAAACCGTTAATACAGAGTGGCTGAATAATAATAATAATAAATACACAATTTATTCCGGGAAAAAGGGGAAATAGACATACACATAAAAGGAGATAAGATCACTAGAATGAGATAGAAAGAAGGGGAAAGGTGTGAAGTGCAGCGCCCAAAGAAATGGACCAATCGAACATGAGAATGGTGATGTCCAATAGATATAGAGTATTCGAGCTTTGCCCGAGCGCTTTTCTCCCACACACATACCGAGTATGTGCGCGTTAGTGAGTGTGCATGGCGTATGTGCGTGTGTGCATGCATGAGCTGTTCATTGGTGCGCGCAGGCAGAGCTCGGCGTGCGAATGGCCAGGCTCGACTCTCGACCTCTAGTGCGCGCGCGTAAGCGCACACTCGTTCGCAATTTCACGCCTTCTCCATCTTCTTTCTGCCACAGTGATGGTGCGTGCGTGCTTGTGAAGTGCGTGGCACACACGCATTGCATCTCCACCCATTTGTGCGCTTGTGTGTGTGTGAGCGTGTGTATGCGTATACACATACACACGCACGCGATTTGTGAAGCCGAGTTGAACACCCTGGAGATATAAAAGGGGGAACGATTAGACGGTTTGATCAGTCCACTACACTCGCACGCATCCACAGCACATACCCGCACGCTCGCACTCATACACACCCACACACACACACACACACCTGTAAGCATAAACACAGACAAACACCATGCAGGCAATGAGCAGTGACAGCCCTAATTTCTTCATGGAGACCTCCCCGCCTGAAGGCGGAAATCATGCTGTCCACTCTCCCTCTGAAGGAAGTTCTGAAGTGGATACTTCGTCTTTCGATGCCAGTATGCGGCATTTCGTCTACTCCGATTTGCCAATTAATGCGCCAACACCCGCCGTTCCTGCACCCTCTACTATGCCCATGCGTTTAAAACCGGGTAACAAGAAGTCGTTTGTGTGGAACTACTTCCGCCATCCGGAGGGTGAATCTGGGATGGTGGACAGAACACGAACTCAATGTCTTCTCTGCAAAAGTCAATTGGCTTTTAATGCTTCTGGCACAACTACTACAATGCTCAACCACTTGAAGAGTCGACATGGTGAGATAGCTCAACGAGAGGAATCACAGAGGGTTCGAAGTAACACCTCGAATAGAAGAAAAGACACAGCAACATCTCGTGTTGCTTCTGGTGCATCCTACTCACCTCTACGTGCGCAACAGCAATCATCGCAGTCGTCATTACCACCACCACCGTCACAAGTCCAACCCTCCAGAATGAGAAACAGCAATGGCTGCTCTGACTTCCCACAAATTTCGGAGGACCTCCGGAAATTTGCTGTAAGCTTCATCCCTCAGACACTTTTTTGGATCCTTTTCCCCCCTTTTAAGTCATTAGTATTTTATTTATACATGCCTCAAAAAGTCCGATTTTTCTTTGAATCTACCAGGTTCCCAGAGATGACTCGAGCCTCCAATGTGCGTGGGTCTATTAAGAGAGGAGAACTATTGTCTTGAGTAGACCTTGACTTAAGTAGTGAATTGGGTATCGTTGAGAGATGAGTGCCAAGTGGCACTCGATGCAAAAAAATTGATAGCTAGATAGACAGACCTAGCGGTGCTCGAAATCTGCTAACGCCTGCTTACCTGCTTTGTGCGATAGACACACTTTCATGAAAAATTTTCTCCAGACAGTTGTCATCAGACTTCGGGGTACTTCTTTCACACGATTGCGTAGTTAATAGCTCTCCTCTCTCCCCCCTTACTCTCTAAACGAAAACACGCTAGACTAGACGCGAGAGGTGAAAAAGGGTGGCAGAATTCGGGAGTTCTCATCGAGTTTCTGTGATACCAATAAATTAGGTTGTCAACCATGCAGTCATGAGAAAAGGCATATTACCTCCATTTAAGTATTGGGGTGAGTTACGTCAGTATAGGGGTATACACATGCTTGAAGACACCGTGACTTTCCCAAGGTTCGTTTTTTTCTTTTTCAAGTGGTGTAGTCGAAAATTTTTGCATTCACACCCAAGGCACAGAGACATCAATTCCAAATTATTCGAGACGACTTGACAAGAGTCTTTTTGTCGACAGAGTCGGTGTCGATGTCAGTTTGCATGACAAGTGAAAGCTCAAAATCTCGAGTTTTACACGTCGGAAAGTGACTGAAGTAAAAGTGGTGAGAAAGAGGAAGGGATAGGGAACAAAACAGAGGAACTACCGTTCCTTACTGAGGTCATTTACGCATAACCAAATAATACATTAGCCTCCACTAGCCTTTGTTCGGTTGCTATGGCGTCTGACAAGAATTTTAAGTCGACTTCGAGCACGATAAAGTCAGGGCAATATGTTTATTGTAGCATTTAAAAGAGGAAGCAAAGCAGACGAGTCGAAAGGTGGGTCTGCTTCAACCCTTTTTGGCGTTGAGTGGACTGGATACCGGAGGCAGACATGGCAGTCCTCAAGTAGTGGGCTCTCCCGAATCAATTGCAACGGCGGCGGAGGCTGCCGCAGCGGCTGCAGCTGCCGCTGCAGCATCTAGCGGCCTTCTACCCCCTTCTGTATCTCTCGGGGGCTTGCCACAACTCCCTGCGGTTACTTCTTCACCGCTTATTCCACCTCTATTTCCCATTCCACCCCCACTGGAGTCGGCACCTTTGATGCCGCAGTTGACAGGGTTTCTGCCTCCCAACTTTCCTGCCTTCGTCCCTCCCAATTCGTCTGCTTCCTCCTGCTCCACCGACACTGATGATGCGATGGAAAGACTTCAGTCAACACCGCAGCTCAGTTCGGATTCTGGCCCACTGGCAGTGGCACGAGCGTGGCTTTCCACTCTGGCCAACCTGCCTGGCCAGACCGCAACTAACGGTAGTTCTGATGGAATTCGAATTTCCACCACCCCACCTATTAACACCAGTGCCAATGCCGCAAATTCCACAATTTCAGGAAACCTCGCAGCAATAGAAGAGTTGTTGAAGAGTCTTCCAAGTATGGCAGCACAACAGGCGGGTGCTGGAAGTAGTTCAAAGCCTCTGCTAATGCCACCATTGCCTCCAGATTTGCTCTCTACCTTGGTACACAACAGCCCACTTGTGTTAAGCATTCTCTCAAGATCCCAGGCTCTTCTAGCCTCACAGGGCTGCATCCCACCACCCCCTGCACCCCCCCCACCACCTCCACCACCACTTTCCACCTCGTCTGCAACGTTGACAACCGGTCCCTCGACGACAGCGTCAGCCTCTACTCCCTCATTGCCGTCGTCCAAAGACAAGTCCTCCTCCAACAGTGTGGACTTGATGATAGGCACCGCAAAGCGTAAACGTACACGTCCAGTGTACATACCTCCACAAATGTGGGCTGTGGTGCGTACTTATATACGTGGTATTCATCGCTATATTACCACAAAACTCACCAGTCAGTCACAATCATGGTTACATGGTCCCAGGTGGATGATTTCTACAAGACAAAACCCGTTGGTTTATTTTTCCTTCATAGAAACGATCTTCCATTGAGGGCAGTCCAGGCGCTGCAGACAGTCCAGAGGACTTGAGTATGCCTCGAGCAACGCGACAGCAACAACATGAGTTGTCAACCGGAGCCTTGGAAACACGTCTTGCCTACTTCCTTGTTCGCGAAATGCTCCCACCAGAAATTCTTGAGAGGGAAGGCTTTCGAGTGAGTTATTAGATACGCCTCTTCTTGTGTCCCTTCTTCCCCACTCCTTCCCCTCGTTTTTTTCTAATTTGTACCTTACCTCCTCGTTAACTGCGATAAATTTAGAGTGATTAGGTGCGGTTAGTGACAGCTTGACAAGCTATTTAATTCGTCCCAGAAAATGTATCATACTGAGAGAGTCAAATACTCTTCTAATTTATCCTCCTAAAGCTGGTATTTAACTCCTTGAACGAAGAAGATATTTCAACAATGTCTACTGGCAAAGATGAGCCTTCACAAGGTGGCAGAAGAGGTAACAAATTTGCCAAATAAAAGACTAAGAAAAGTGGCTTAGAGGAGTAGGGAGGGGAAAAAGAAACCTATAGTTGGTCAAACTGCCAGGCAATATTTCCAGAGGTTTCTATTCACTCCGGTGTAGTGAAGTGAAATATCCCTCCCTCCTTTCACACTTTCAAGTTGAGGTAGAGTCGATGTGGTTGGGGGGGGGGGGGAAGGAGAGAGAGGTGGGGTAGCCCCCTCATCTAGAACGCAAAATCTACCATTACCTTTCATGACCTCAAAAAGGCTGATAAACAAAAAGGTCAAGTTCTTTTCAATTGTGAAAACTTCGATAATTTCCTATCCATTTATCCAGAGGGATCTGGAAAATAATGGGAAAATTTTCGTCCCAAAACGCGATAGTTGATGGGATTTTGCTATTCTTTTTCCCTCTTTTTTCTGCTCTTCATAACTTGTAGAGTGCATTTGGATCCCCTCCAAAAGAGAGATAACTCTCATTTGAGCTTCCTAAAGGATAGGGCTGGGCGGTTCTTTGGGGTCTTTACAAGACCCTAGAGGAGATTGAGCTCAATTGCTGACGGAAGATCTCGAAGTGGCCGAAAAAAAGATAGTAGAGTTGTAAACTTCCCTTCTCACCACTTTTAGCCGCTCAGTAAAGGTTGAGAGATGTGAACAAACCTTCACTGAAGTCTACCTGGATGGAAGCAAAATCCCGATTTATCATTAAGTGAGCAAGAAATAAGTTTTAGGGGTTTCCCTTAATTATTCGGTACAATTCCCCACCGTCAATTTCAGGGACCTGTCAAGTATGTAGAACGTCTATCACCGTACTATTTTGACTTCTTTTATCTGGTGATTGAATCTACTGGATGGAATTCGAGCTTGTCTGCATTACCGAGCCCAGTTTAATGCAACTTTGAAGGCGCAGAAATTTCTCATTAAACAGGACTTGAAGAGGAGACTGGTATGAACTAGCGGAACTTACCACTATCAGCATCAATTTCCGGAAGGCCATAAATTCTTGTGCCAATGTTGACACATTAACTCGAGGCTGACTTGCTAAGACCTTTCAGGAATGAATTGTGTGAGCGGTAGAAAGAATAGAGCAGTTACACATACGCCAACTAAGAAATTAGAGGAAGCTAAACAAATGGGTGCTACTGACATTAGACAACAGGCAGCAGGCCACCGACGATAATCTACTTGTAGTTCCTCACTCACTCACTCAATTCGTCTTTGTTCAACTCACCAACGAAAAAGGAGGGCTTGCCAACCCACTGGCTGACTGACTTGATGGGAAAGGGGTTTTTCTATTGAGACCCTCGTTGAGCAGTCGAGTTTATTCTCTCGCACGCATAGACATATTTCTCGGAAAAGCAGCACTTCATCGGTAGAAGGCTGTGTCTTATTTTTACACCGAAGGCTAAATATCTGCAGCTATTGCATTCAGGCACTCGATACTGCTGGAGTGTGTGCACAAGACTGTCGCCTTCTTCAGAAATGGTGGAGATTCGTGCTTTGGTGAGAAGAAAGTGCAAAGTTACTGCATTTTTGAATCGAAGATGATGAAACTACACCACATCATCTTTCCCGAGCATCAAAAAGTCATATAATCACATAGGAGGTGAGAGGCAGTGAAATAAAAAAAGTGCTGACTAGACTTTAGGCTGTTTGATTCTGGGGATAAAAAATTTTTTCCCTCCCGCTTCCTTGTTTCAAGATTGCAAAACGATGAATAAGGAATAAGGGAGAAAAAGGCACCTAGGAGCCAAAAAAAGGGTTTCATACCATTGCATATAGCGTTAAGCTGTGTCAAGGCAATCGATGAGGTCGAGAATTCCTGGTGTAGTACGGAAATTCAAAAGATCTAGCCGAAGGAGCTTAAGAATCATGCGAAAGGATGCCAGTACAAACGAATTCGCACTGCCTGACCTCATCTGCCCCGAAACTCGTGAGCATCATTGCTCGTCAGCGCATGTGATTGAGGAGGGCAAAGCGTACACTCACAACCATCCTCCAATTTACCTGCTTCTAAGTTAACTGCGTTAGCAATAAAACATCTTTTTTCGCCTGTCTGACCTCGCGTCAGGGTTTATTCCTTCCCGGATTTCCACAACTTTCGCATTATGATGTAGGCAGGAGATAGAGTCCAGGGAGCGTGTATGTGCGTGCGTGTGTGTTAAATCCATTAGCGCTCGCTTTCCTCTGATAGATGGCTACTTCACCACCACTTTGTGTCTCCTCGGAAATTATCATCAAGTGTATCATCACTGCCACTGCCGGCATTAGTGGATACTCGCGGGCTGCATATCGGCGCCTTAATCTACCTTCTACCTTCCTCCTTGCCTTTATGGACTTTGCCTTCTTGCCCTCCACTATCCCCATTCTCACTTCTATTTCGTGTGTACTCGGGGGGGGGGGGGAGGAGGAAGAAGGGGAGGGGCAAATCACCCACTTCCCCCTCCTTTCTCAACAGGTCCACTTATAAGTGGGCAGTGTGAGTAATAGGCACGGCGACCTCTGTAGTTCTTCGATTTTAGCAGACAGGCAATGAGGCAAGCAAGTAAGTAAGTGGGCAATCAAGCTATAATCATCTACTCCC